ATGGTTTGAATAAGAGACAAGAAACTTGTTATATTATAGTTATATAACTGTACAGAATATTAGGTTAAATGTTAATACAAAGCAGCAAACGTAGCAGAGTTCAAAGGTACTCTAAGGACATTTCTAATTCCTAATTTAATTTCACCATTGGTGTGTACATACAAATATCAACTAGAGAATATTTGTGAAGCAAGTAGTCTAATGGTGGACCAAACTTATTTTTGTGTACATTTCTTACGCCAATATATAAACATAAAATGAATAATATAATAAATGACCATCTTATCTTTCAATGGGAAGAAATATGTGAATATGATTGAGTAACTAGTCAAATTATCATCAAGATATTTTGCCTTCAAGCATCCTGCTTGTATAAACATATTACCTTGCAATGATATATTATATAATAGATAGATACATGGACTTTTAGCAAAAATGCAGAATTATGAATATGGTGAATATCAATTGAATGAATAAAATGGTATGGTAATTTTGGCAGGATAGTGCCACAAGCCTACTCCTTCGAGGCTTTTACACACAGCATATGGCTCAAGGGACCTGGGTTTATTTTCCATCAAAACAACTAGATGCTTTAACAAGATGGGTTTTCTATTGCTCTAAATGTATTGAAGTATCTTTAAGTAAGAACTCTTGCCTTGATGGATATTACTAAACAACACCCAGACATCTTGTATTCTCTATAGTCACATTAGTTGTGTAGAAAATATTCAGAAAATCAAAACCAAAATATACAAAACATCACATCAAGATCCTTTTAAAACAGTCAGTCCTTTCTGCAAGAAATATCAGTCCAAAATAATGAAGCATTCCTGTAGTAGATTTCCCAAATTTCAAACAAAAACACATAATTTAGTCCAAAATTTCACATATCAGACTGTTACACTTCAAATCTTAAGAGATTTATTAACAAATTTCTTTGAGAAAAACTTGGAAGCTGATCAAAAGTTTGTTTTCATCTTTATGAATCAATTAGTCAGAAAGCCAAAATATTTTCTATCAGGTTTTGGCAGTCAGCCTAAACTTTTCATACTATATAACATTATAAACCGTAAGTCTGCTGAGCTTTGGTGTTCATGGTGAAAACTTTGTCTAAATTTTAACGGTTTAAACAATTAGTTTACATTTAAGCAGGTTCTTATATTTAGCAAGCTATCCAGTGTGTAGCTGTAATCTGTAAGCTTATTGCAAATAATGTGTTATAAGAGAAGATAACTTCAATATTGAAGAATTCTAAAAGGATTATAATATTCTAGATGTAGTTACCTAAGATTCTTTTTTAAAGAAACTAAGAATATAATGATATGATCATATTTCATATTATGGTAAATCTGTTATGAAAACTATGGCATAAATAAACCTATAAAAACAGATGTACAAATATTTATCATGAATATTCAACATGTTTGATAAATTTGGAGTTTTACATCCTACATTTCAACACCAAGTTGGGCTAATAATAAAAATATTTAATCTTTATTGTTTAAATTCATTATTACTAATGAAGAGAGGTAATACCATGCAGTGAGTTATTAAGGAGACATTACCAGGAAGTCAAAAGCCTAATTATTGCAACTAGTAAACAGAAGCAAGGCCAAGTAGAGTAGTCAACTGTAGCTAGTCAACTGTAGTGTGTAGATTCAATTATAATGATACCAGTATATAATATCTAACTTCCTCAGGGGATATTGTGGTTAGATTGTATACACATAAAAACAAAATAACAGTTTGATAAATAAATATACATGCAGACAAATCTATTTTACAGTTATATATGGAAATATTTCTCAATAACTGCTCTACAATTGATGTATTGAGTATTATTTGAATTATTCATCAAATAATTGTTAGTTTTAAGTTTGTTACTGCTTTACAAATGTAAACAATATAACAATTTAATAAGACATGTATATGAAAGAATTTGACAGTAATTTATGGTGATTTATAAAATATAATAAGTGTCAGTTTTAACATTATATTGGACTATTTCACACTATGAAATTATGAATACAACAATTCAAGTAAAGTTTAGGTCATAGCTTATGCATCAATTAATTGATTATTGTAGTGCTCATTTTTTATATCAGTTTACATGTTAGTCCTAAAACTCCATGTATTTATCAATATTTAATATACTAAAAGGCAATTGACAGAAAAAGAATGTTGTAATAAGACAGAAATAAAATATATTAGCGCACAGGAAATAAAAGAGAATGAATGGAAACAAAAGAAAGACCAACATAAAGATTTAATTGTCCTGCAAAAAAATCATTGGCAAGTACTATTGTAAACAGTATTAAATACCCTTTATATTAAAGGGATTGTAAAGTGGTTTTTTTAAATTATTTATGTGTATAAGGGACACAGCATCAATTTGCACCATTTGAATTTTTAATCAGACCTCTGTGATGCGAGTTGTCCCTGAAACACATAATTTTTTTTAGAAAAACTCTTTACAATCCTTTTAAATATAATGTGTTTAAACCAGAGGTGTATGAGGAGCTGTAGCCCAATCAAAACCTCTCGTACAGTTTGATCTCAACATAGGCAATTTTTGGGCAACAAATATATAAACAATTATTGGATTCATACTCGGCTCAAACACCTGTCAAAATTACATAATTAAATAAGTATAATGTTATGTGCAACAAAATATAACAAAAACTTTTATTAGAAAAATTAATAACTTATAAGCTTATATAAGATGACAGAAGTTTGTATATGAAGCAGTCTAATAATTCCATTAGTAATATTGTTAGTAAACTAATACTAGGCTATCCTTATAGCACCTAACTAACAGAATTATAATATATTATGAAGCTTCAGAACTGCAAGAATACAGCTGAGGGGAGTTGAAGTTTGACCACTCTACAAAATATAGGAATCATGGAATAACATGATGATTACAGCATTCTTCTTAACAATTCCGAATGAATGAATCATACTTAACTCAAAAAGCTGTTACCAAACTCATGTATATAAATTGCAGTTTAACATTCATAAAACATTGCTTCAACAGAAACTTTTAAGTGGATAAAGCTAGAAACCTTATGAGTTTTCAACTTCAAGTAGGCCTATCAATGATATCAGTCAACTTAGTTTGTAGGAGTGGTCAACTCAAAGCATAACTAAACCAGCTGCCATACATGCTAGAACTAAGTTAAATCTAAACTAAGTTTCTATCCTATACTCACACTCTCATCTCCTACCCCTTCATCCTCTTCTGTTGTTTCAACATACGATTTAAACGTCTGTAATCCCAATAATATTATATAGTCAGCATTGAAATATTTCCCTACACCTGATGGTAATTCTCGTTTGAGGAGTTCACTACTATACTCCCGATTTTGTCATGCTTTGGACAAGATTTTTGGTTACTTTTGCTTTTACATTTTGCTTGTACTACACATACTGAATTTTATCAAACCCCACTTCCAATGAACAAGCACTTTGGACCAATGTAAGAATAGTCCACAATCATATTCACATGAAAACTTAAAAGTTATTTATCATGCAAATATAATATTTCTAAACCAAAAATGCTCAAGCAAAATAAAACTAGCATTTCCATCCTAGCTGACAAACCAAGCATTTCTAGCACCTGCTAAAATAAGGACTTAAAAAAAAGAAACATCAACAAAGCCTTGGACTAGATTTTTGTTTAATATTAGATTTAATTTAGATTTTAATTTGTAATATATAAGAGTGATACCAGGTCTAAATAGTATTTTCTGAAAGCTGTGAAAGTTAATTATACAGACAACAGAATTTATCTTAAATTCAATAGTTTCAGAGAATTCAGATTTTAAAAATAAATCTACAATTTATACTCATTAGAATTTTGTCACCAATGTAATATTTCTATAATTAGTATTTTTCGTCTTGACTGTTAAACTTATTTCATGAATTTCAGAGAATTCAGATTTAACAATAAATTTTAACTCAGAAGCTTACTAATTAGAATATTGTTAAGTAATACTAATCAAATCAAAATGATAACTAAACTGACAGAAGTTTAAGAATAAAATAAGCTAATGATGAATATGAATGAAGATCTGTAAATATTGATGACATTTTTATCAGAGTAAATACTCAAGTACAATATCTGTGTGTTATGAAAAGAGTTTGCTAAGACAATTTCCAATTAAAATAAAATAAGGTTTGCTGGGAAAAATGGACTGACTTCATTATGAAATCTTTTTTTTTAAAAAGTTGTCGGAGTTGTTCTGAATCCAGAAATTCTTGCAGCCTACCTAATATTTAAGTCTGCACATTAACAAATATTTCTGGCATTTGGTAAAAACAGTCAAATAAACAATTCACTAATTTGTAAATGTATTCTGAATGAGATCTATGTAAAAATCATTTTTGAATTAATGAATTGATTCTGTTTCTCATAATCTGCACTCTGCACGGTTCAGCATTTTCATATTTAGCATTAAGATATTTTTCCTATACTGTCATATTTGTCATGTTACAAGCTGTTACAAGGTCATTTGTGTCACTTACATCTTCCAAATCAAACTGTCATAAAAATACTGATAAAGGGGAGGGGCAAATCAAACCTGTTACAGCAGAACCATAAAACATAACATGAACTATGAAACCAAAAAAAAGGAGGGAGTAACCATCACAGCACCTGTCAAAATCACGTCTGCCAGTGTGTTTGGTCGATCAAAAATACTAACCGCCTTTCCCTTCTCTTTCATCTCCACATCCGAGCGATATAAATAAGATTTAAACCGCCTGGACATCTTCAATCAGCGCTATACTTTCCACTACAGATAAATACTCGACATTTTCTATTTCTAAAAATAATTATTTCCGGTAAGAAAGGGGCACAACTCAAAAACAGTCTCTTGATATCCAGACACTGCAATAAATTGTTCATGAAATTACGTCATGGCGATCGAGACTTAAACTATCTCTACTTCCGATTTATCAATAACAAAAAGCACGTGACTGTTAAAATATCAACAACAATGAAGACGAGGAGTTTCGATTTTTTTTTATTTCTCCTAACTTCCTTAGCATTTATAAATTTATCACTTGGTATGATTTTATTTCTTTATATTAGTCACCCCTTTTCGATTTAATGTAAACTATATTTTATCTGGAATAATATTAAGCAAATGATGTCAATAATTGTAAAAGTTAGACAAGTAGGAGTACCGTACCCAGATAATCAAGAAATCAAGAATTGAGAGATTGGATTCTATCATAAGATTCAACATTGTCGGATAGATAGCCCTAAATATAGCAGTGGCTCAACTACCACAGGGACAGGGAGTGTCCTTAAGGGGGCCCCACCCCCAGAAAATAATGCAGGAGAGCTTAAATTTCCTTAGAGAGGGGCCCCAGCCAACTTTAGTCCACAGACCCTATTCATTTAGTTGAGCTACTGAAATATAGATATAATTATTCTAATCCTTGCCTAAAGTTATTGAATAAAAATGATACCAATTAGCCTACTAACGACCTGAACCACAAATTGATTAGCTGTATTTGCTGGTGTACAATCCAATCAAATCGCTGCATTCTGTGATACAAGGAAAATTAAGTTTATGATATCTAGACATGAAAATGAGCAACATGCCATTTGGTTATTTATAGGGGCAGTCATTTGTGTTTTAATTCATTTCAGCCTCCTATCCATGTGCCAAGAAAGATTTTGGACATGATTCTGTGGTGTGTGTATGTAACAGTACATTCTGTGATACTGTAGAACCAGTGGTCAATCCTGGCAGACAGAAAGGATGGGTATATACCTCATCAAAAACAGGAGATAGGTTCAACAAGACAGGCTTTACTTTCACCAGCAAGTCACTCTACTCTAGTAAGCACTATTTCTACAGTCTTTAACTCAGTAACTTATGAATTCAGTTATACCTACTAGGCATAGAGAATAAGTTGGTTTCCCTTCATCTGTCATACTAATTGGAGGGGTTGGTACTGCCAAGTTAGTAGGTGTATTGAAATCAAATAGATGCCTCGGTCATAGAACAATAGATAGTGTTGCTGTGAAAATTAAATGCGAATACAGTCACTAATTAAAATGACACAAAATCTGGAAGTGAAACATTATATTTTATTTCTATTTCAGCTATATTTACTATCAATAGAAATATAAGTTATCAAACTATCCAGGGTTTTGGTGGGGCGTTTACTGATGCTGCTGGTATAAATATACTGAGCTTACCGGTACCAGTTCAGGAGAAACTATTACAGTCTTATTACAGTCCACAAGGTAGAGACTATTAATAGACTTAATACCCCACTTCTCTCATGTCAATAACATGTCTTATGCATGCTTTTCTGTCAACTTTTTCTCATTGTATAAACCAAGTACTAATGATCAAAATAACGAAAGGAGACCCGAATACCAAATCATCATTTTGACGAAACTAGGGTAGCAGCTAATGAACTTTTCACATGAAGGAGTAGATCATTCATAAGTGAATTAATATTCCGTAATGATAAGTGGTGTCAGGTGTTTAGAAGAGTAAGCATACCCTGCCTGACACCATGTATATAATATCAGTATTCAGTAAAGATTTTTTATCTGTTTTTAATACAAAATAGTATGCACATGTCTGTTTAGAAATAGAACGAGGGACAAGATCTTTAGCAGTTTCCCAAACAATAGATTACTTAATGTACAGTATTCTCTCTAGGATAAAACAGTGCGCACTATACTCGCAAATATACAATAAGTAGTGTTTGGTATAATTCAGGTATAGAATATACTATTGGACGTATTCCAATGGCTAGTTGTGATTTTTCTACTCATCCCTATTCTTATGATGATTACTCCATGGATTTTCAGTTGACCAATTTCTCTTTAACCATGGAAGATATAAAATATAAAGTGAGTAAAAACTTATTGTCAAGCCAAGTTTGAAATTTCTAAAGAAATCAAAAAGAAATTTAAAGGACTGGACAGCTATTGAATGACTTTAAATGATTTCTTTTTATGAGTGGAAGACTGTCAGGACAGCTGAATAGTAGATGTTTTATTAAATATAGAGACCACAGGCCTATTATATAATAAAGTAGATATTAATATACACAATTATATAAACTACATGTGGATACTTAATTCACATTTTCGAAGGCTCAAAGAATTTTGTCCTTTTTTTCAATGACAAAAATATATATTTATGAATGATTACTGAATATACACACTAAATAATAGATAGATAGATAGATAGATAGATAGATAGATAGATAGATAGATAGATAGATAGATAGATAGATAGATAGATAGATAGAAATATTTCCATTTCATAAGTGACATGATTTTATCAAAAAATTTGAATTTTGATACACATTTGGACTTCATATCTTTTGTCATAGAATTTATTTATTATACAATTGCAGATCCCAATAATCCAGAAAGCCTTATCCATGTCTGCCCGGAATATGTCTATATTTGGAAGTCCATGGAGTGCACCAGCCTGGATGAAAACTAATAAAAATATGACTGGAAGAGGGTCACTGATTGGTCAACCTGGAGGCAAATATTTTAAAACCTGGGCCAACTATTTTGTCAAGTGAGTAGCCTACAGTTTAAGCCTTTTTAAGTCAGGCTTCAATAAAGCATTCTGTTCTGTTACAGACCCTTACCAGGATGCAATTTAAAGTTGCTCATTGTTCCTGTAAATTATATGAATTTTTATTGGAATAACCAAATACCAGCTCACATACCAATTGACAGCCAAAGTGCAATCAGTAGAAGAGGAGTCTAATAGTATAAGAACCAGCAATATAACTATAGGATTATGATTGTTTTGTAGATTTTTACAGGCATATCAGAGCCATAATATAACACTCTGGGGATTGACAGCACAGAATGAACCTCTAGATGGAGAACTACCCAGATTTCCATTTCAATCAATGGGCTGGACACCAGAGATGCAGAGAGATTTTATAGTACAAGATCTAGGACCAGCTCTTCATGATAATGGATTTGAAAATGTTAAATTGATGATATTAGATGATCAGAGGTTTTTGTTGCCCAAATGGTCATCTGTTGTAAGTAAAATCAATTATATTTTTAGATTTATTTGTAAGTGGGTACTGTCAGTTTCATGAAACCACAAGAAGATGACTGACATATAGTGACGTATTTAGGGGGTGGGCCATTTTCTTCAGATTATCCTCAAACATAAATCTTTATTGTAAACTATTTATGAAAATAGCAAAGGTGTCCTTTTGCAATAGTGGCTTCATAAACTACTTAATTTAAGTGGAATTGCAATAATAACAGACATCTTACTGAAAATTTGAATGGTGCTAATCAATGCTATCAGAGTCTAATACACATAAAAAGTTTCGGAAATCCTTTTTACAATCTCTTTAAAATGAAATATTTCACCATCAGGTACTATCAGACAAAGCAGCTAGTGCCTATATCTCAGGAATCGCAGTACATTGGTATGCAGACGCCATTTCCTCTCCTAGTGACTTAGACAAGGCACATACTAACTTTCCTGAGAAGTTCCTGTTTGCTTCAGAGGCCTGTGAGGGTGATCTCCCCTGGGAGAGACATGTGGATATGGGAAGTTGGTATCGAGCTGAAGCTTATGGTCACTCTATTGTACAGGTGTCAGAATTCTTCTTGTTTCCTCAATACGCAGACGTGTAAAGTCAGTTAGATTGGACTAGATTGGTCTACATCTTTGTTTCTGTGTAGTTGAAATTAATAAACTTTTGATTAAAGATGTCCAATTTAACTTTCTTTATCATCTGTTAGTTATCTAACCACCAATATACCTGCAATATCTCTGTCTATATCTGTCCAGGCTTGCAAGCCTATGCCTCTTCTTTTTCAGATTTTATCCGACCCCAATATTACCAAATACGTACAAGGTGTCGGAATACATTGGTATTATGATTTTCTTATCCCTGCATCACTCCTTGACACCTTCCACAATGATCATCCTAGTACCTTCATGCTTGCTACTGAAGCTTGTTATGGTTCTTTCCCTTGGGAAACTGATATAGAGCTTGGAGCTTGGAATAGAGCTGAAGCTTATTCTATTTCAATTATCCAGGTATATATGAAAGATTATATTTCCGTCCTTGATTTGTCAAATGAAAGTGAAGATTTTGACTTCTGATGTGTGTGAGGTTTTTTTTACTGTGCGGCAGAATTAGCAAATGGCTGCTATCAAATTTTTTACAATCTTGCGAAAAAAGTTTTATGTGACTCATTGCAGTTTTATGCATAAAATTAGAGTTTCATAATAAAATAAATTTTGTTCTGTAATTTAATTGAAGATAATGATTCATGATTTAACTTTTTTAACTAGTCCATGAAATTCAGGACTAGTATATCAAATCAAACATTCTGATCAATTACTAGATTTGAATAAAAAAAAGTGCACTGTTTCTTGGTTAATGCCTTAATGCATTATTTTCATGATAATTTGATTTAAATTGCAATTATTTCAAATTGCAGGATATGAACCATTGGGTAACAGGTTGGACTGACTGGAATATAGCATTAGATATGCAGGGTGGACCTAACTGGGTATCCAACTTTGTTGATGCCCCAATAATAGTGAATAAAGATAAGCAAGAGTTTTATAAACAACCAATGTTCTATGCCATGGGACATTTTAGGTAAGATGAAAGTTATTTAGATATATTATTTTGAAACAGGCAGATTTAGGTTGGTGCTTGCTATCTGTGAAATTCTAGATTTGATTGAGAAAAATGACATGTGGCGACAAAAAAACGAGGTTCTATATTCTATTATTTTTCAGAGGTATAGCCTTTTGCAACTGCTCAAAATGTAAGATATTAAACTCAAATTCATTTCTATAATTCCAGTAAATTTGTAGTTCCTGGCAGTAAAAGAATGGATATCAAGACACAAGGATCAACTAATTTAGAACTAACAGCTTTTATATCACCAGATTCCTCCATTGTACTTGTTATATTAAATAGGTATGTATAATATTACCTGTCAGACCTGATACAGGTTAACTTGATAGAGGCATAATTGGTAGAAGCAGCCTTGACAGAGGCAGTCTTAACAGAGGCAGCCTTGATAGAGGCAGCCTTGATAGTCAGATCTGATAGAGGCACTCTTGATAGAGGCAGAATTGGCAGAGGCAGCCTTGAAGGAAGTGGACTTGACAGAGGCAGTCTTAAGAGAGGTAGTCTTGGTAGAAGCTGTCTTGTTAAAAGATTGATTTTGCTCTCTAATTATCCTATATTTTACTGTACACCAGTCCAGTGGGTGGTATTGAAGACTGATGACAGAGGTATTACATCCCATGTTTTTACCTATTTACATGTATTATTTTATCTTTCAGGCATGATACAGAGGAAGCTATCAGTATACAAGATCCAGAGTTAGGTTATCTGAATACCAAAATATCTGCACATACAATACTGACATTAGTATGGTGGCATTAGCCGGTCTACCATTGGAAAAACTACATATTTTTTGATCCATTGACCTTAGCTAGTCTTCAACCACAATGATTGTCTCCCCTTGACAGTAGAAAATAACACGAAATTGATAGCCTAGACCATATTATTCTAACCTAGAAAAAATTTAAGATGGTTGCAATGATTTGTCTTGTAGCCACCATTTTTGTCTACCTTAGGAAATCATACATATTTAATAGCGTAGTCTAAAGCAAGTAGAAATAGTATTTTCACCATCATATTAGTCTAACCTAGGAAACATTTAAGATGGTTGCAATGATTTGTGTGGTAGCCACCATATTAGATTAACGTAAGAAAAGTCAAGATGTTTGGTATGATTTATTCATCACGTTTGTCTTCCTCAAATAAGGATACAGGCTTACCATGATTTTTACCATTGTGGTACTGGCGGGTGTCGCGCATGTTGCAGATCATGTTTACTCTTTTGGAAACTCCTGGTGGTACGTCTCTTTAGAGTAGTCCACTACTACTCAACTTTAAACCTTGATTTTGTCATACTTTAGATGAGATTTTGATTAACAGAATTGTCTTCCTTATTCAGATTTTTTAGTACATTAAAATGGTAGCATTACTTTGTCTTATATTCACTAAGTATTGATCCAGATTTTGATCCAGTTGTGTGGATTAGTCTTTCATCCTCCGAATTTTGGCCTGTGTTGTCATGGATGACTCTGTCATGCACCATGTTCGCCTAAGATTTTTGTCTTATTTTTAATGATTCCTTCTTTCTCCTAAATATTCAAAACTACTGCTAGGCAATAAACATGAAATGTATGGCCTCTAATTGTTGCTTGTTAATTTTTTTTATTGTTTTATAAATGTAGGGTATTTGAAATCATTGTTATTTATAAATTTTGTTATATTTTGTAATATGTTTATACTGATTATTAAAAATTCCATGTTGTTTATATTTGTTTGATGGCCCATTCTACGTAATCTAAGGGGTGCAACTCGTATCTACAAACGGTGGCAATTCAGTCGGCGACCATTGAGCTAGACAATATATTTGATAAAGCTTTCTGTTTTATCCCTTTCTGATTATATCCCCGGAATGCATGGTAAATAGATACCGGGGTACCGAATAATGCAAAAAGATATCCTGGAATGTAGTATAAATGGATAACGACGACACAATGCTCAAATAAATCCAGACACATTCTTCCTGAGGTCAGTGTTATGGACAGAAGTCCTTTGAAAAAAGCTTAAAGGTTATGATTCGCCATATTCGGGGGTTGATAGAAGTCTTGGATACATTTAAATAGTCTTCAGAAGTATTAGATCTCCATGACAATCATCACAATCCCTTCAAATATACTTAAAATTGCACTTTCTTCATATATATATGTCTTTGCTATATATCATAGCGCAGTATCAAGGAAAGACGAGTTGTCATAATAACTTTCAAACGCGGATAATTCTGTACAAACATGGATTTTAGAGCTCAAATTTAATACGATCATTACTGATTAGCTTAGCATAAAAAATTCCCGTTTCTGAGATTAAGGTATAATTTGTTAAACGGCTGGCGAATCTGTCCCTTTAAATCGAAAAAAATATTCATTTTGTCTTTATTATGACGTTAACAATTAAAATACACAGAACAGTAGTATGACGTCACAAGCAAATATTTATATGTGCTTAAAAGACGCTTTTGCAAATTTCTCTCAGATTTTTACAGAATATCGCGGATTTCAAGGTGAGAATTTTATACAAACTGAACAAATTTATTGCAAAACTACGCGTTGAACGGTTATCTGTATTATACCAGCGAAATTTATCCACTCAAGTTCAAAGAACACAGTTCTATGGCGCTTTCAATCAAATTTTGCAAATCGAATTTAAAGCGAATTTAAATTTAGTGAAAACGTTGATCGGTAGGTTATAAAATATGGGAAATATAGCTCTATGATATTCGATTATCTAAATTTTGGCCTCTAAGACTTAGAAAAGAAATCGCCCAGTTTCTTATTTGAACATTCATAGCAATTGGTACATATTTTTGTAGCTTTGGACAAAGTTAGCCCGATTGAAAAATCGCAATTGCCATCAGCCCAACTTTTGTCTATTCTGCCCGTTCTATTCTATTCTATTCTATTCTATTCTATTCTATTCTATTCTAGAATGTCTAAGAAGTATATGCCAAGACCGCCCTACTGTTTTGGCGAGATACCGGATTACACCATACCACCAATGACGGTTGAGGAGTACCGGTACTACGAAAAGGAGTTTTTTGGGTTTCTTGAAGACAAACCACTTGCCAGAGAGGTACAAAATGAAGCTGGATTTATTGAGAGATTCCTGAATTTTTTTGGGGTGTCAAAGATCTCCAAATACGAAGGTAAGCCATGATGTTGTTTCGTGTGGGATTTTGATATGGAGATTTTTTATACCCTTAAACTTTGGTTCTATCTCATGCTCTATGCCTCATGGTCGCTTTCAACGCCGTGTACATCACCCCCCCTCCCACCCCCCCCCCCCCCCCTTATCAATAATAGTGGTTCACTTGACCCAAATAGATTTGTATAAGACAGTGAATTTTGAAATATTAAAATGACCCTTTTCGTGAGAGGGGTTGCCCGTACTCGTTTGTTATTCACGAGTTTTGTGGGTGTGTGTATATCAACAAAACAAAACGTATATAGAACAGTGTTGATTCACCGGTTTGAAAACACGTGACATCATGAATATTTATTATACAGATAATATCTTTATGTCTTTTAGATGAAGTACCGGAAATTAAGTTTAATGTTCATTATGTTCTCCAGAATAATTCTGAATCTCAACATGGTGGGACCGGTGACAGCATTCCCTATTTAATGTCCAGTGGAACTGCAGGAAAGGAAAATAAAGCCACTCAAACTGACGATGTTGTCAAATGTGAACAAGGAGGTACTTATTTATATAACAAGTACCTTATAACATCGCTCATCGGGTATCATATTGATATATTGGTATTAAGTTCATGGTTCACCATTTTCAGACATCAGTCGCACCCTGGTCTGAGAAAGAGAATTCTTCAGCTGAGCTAATTATCAGTATCAGTGTTTACAGCTTACCATCGATATTCTAGCCTTCTTATGTGTATCCTTAAGTCCGTGTTTGAAAATTACATTGACGACTCGCCTTTTCAAGACTCCGCCATAATTCAGAACGGCTAAGGATTGGAAGATTACAAATGTTAGTTCAGTTTTGGTATAACTTCTGAAGAATATCTACATATTACAGGTTCAAATCGACCTCCGATAATGGTAAACCACGGCCATTCGCATTGATAACTATTTTCTTTGTAACTATATAACATTTTTTCAAATTTCATGTCATTTGATTATCATGTAACATGTTATAATAATTCTTATAACATTGATATTTTCCAGTTCAAACGATCAAAGTGAAAAGAGGAGTTATGAAATCATTCCGACGATTTTTACGACGATCATTTAAATGTTTGAAAACAGAAGAATAAGTGGTACGATACAAGGTCAACTGATTCATAAAATGATGTGAAACATGATTAGTATTTTGGGCACAAGCACAATCGTCAGTGGTGTCTTGTCTGCCAGTGGTGCTGATACGAAGACTCAGACTGATTTCTAGATAGATGAACGTTTCGGACACAAACAAAATCGTCAGGATATGTTGGATGTGAAGATTTGAGTTATTAGACCAATTATTAGAAAATGTTTATTGGAATTTTGATATGGAATAAAAATCTTTTGGCTGAATAATATTGTTTACCTTATTAGTATGTAGTGGCGCTTCATAATAAGGTGAGGCGAGCCGGGGCCATAAAATATTCAAGGTTGCTAACAGTCTGAACAGGCAGTTCTTTCCCTTTGTATAATGATAAGAAATTTGGGGGCGGAAAACAATATGACGCAAATTTGAATATAATCTTAATAGGCCTCAGATGAGTTAGCATGATTATGCCTTGATAAAAATATACAGTTTCGAAATTTATATCGATACTTCACTCCCAGAAAGTTCAACCCAAAATGTTCTCAATTTTCGCTTAAAATGAGTATCCTCTGTAAAATCAAATTTAAAGTGAAAATGTGTGTTTCCTCATCTTTGTATTTTTATCAACACAAAGTCAATTTTACACTTACACTCGGCAGCCGTAATATTTTGAAAGTGTTAGACAGGTTAGATTGTAATTACACTTAAAGAGATAGCAAAGAGATTTTCTGAATATTTTGTGACACTGATAGCGTCAATTTGCAGCATTCAAATTTTCAATCAGATCTCTGTGGTTCCTGCAATTCCAATAATCGCAAACTATATGCTTGTATCACCAAAAAGCCCTCAACGATTAGTGAAGTCATCAAACACTTAGTTTTAGTGGAATTGCTGGACCCACTCATTGCAATTGGGATGGTGCAATTTGATGCTATCAGTGTCCCAGATACACATAATTTTTTTTAAAAAATCCTCTTTACAATCTCTTTAAAGGTATGACAATCATATACACACTTCATCCTAATAACTCCACAATTTAGTTGAAAATCACAATTCATGATCCAATATCAAAATGGATAAAAACATTCCAGACCAAAGGACTGAAAATATTGCACCTGGAGTTATACGAGTGTCCTATTGTTATAGGTGTTGATGTGTTGTATAGTTTAACACTGTTAGTTCGCTATCCTGTGGATTTTTCACATCTGTACTAGATGGTAGTCCATTGTATTCTTTACCATATGTATCATCATAGATATCTCCACCTTTAAAACTACTCTTCTTATAACATCGAGCTATCAAGCATGACAAGATAACGACCACAGCTAAAGACCCGCCTGCAATCAGGGCATATGTTTCTCCTTTAGTTAGAGCTTCACCATATGATTCAGTAGCCGTTTCATTTACTGACGAACCAGTGGTCGTAATCTGTTCAGCTGTGACCAATGTATGTGCTGTCATAGAAAGATTGATAGTTGGTAATTGCTCTGTGGACTGTGGTATTGCTGTTCCAAGTGTTATTGGATGTGGCTGTGTGCTTCCTGGGTTTAGAGTTTCTGTTTGCTGCGTTTTTCCCGTCTGGGCAGATGATATTTTGTCGGTCGACGTCGGTAATGTGCCAATGACAGCAGTTCTTAGACTGACTAAGGGTGGTTTAGATGACATTGATGAAGATGGTAATGGCTGGGCTGTTACGAGAGTTCGTGCTGTGATTTGAGACTTCTTGGTAGTTGGATTTCGGGTTGTTATTGCTGAAAAAAAAAGTGTTGAAGGGTTCATGCGAAAGTGTTTTATTGGTATGTCAAGATTTGGCTGACATGCGTGGATGACAAACTTTCAAATTCCACACGAATGGAAGCTCATAGCAGTAATATGAATAAAATATACTCTACTCCAATAGGTCTTCCAAATCACATGAATTTGTTAGTTTACTGACTTTAAAACATCCGGGTCCTTTTTGTGGGTAAGTCGCTATACACACGGGGTATGTTCACCCATTCCTTTGACCAAGTGTCAAATCAGCAACTTTTAATTTTTTCAAAAAAGCCCCTTCATACCATCGCGTTCGTTGGTTCTACTCACCTGTTTCGCAATTGGTTCCTGAAAATTCCTCAGAACATACACAAACATAGCTCTTTAAACTTTCTTTACAAGTTCCCTGATTCTTACACGGGTTAGCTAGACATCTCGGCTTCTCTGGAAAGAATGAAGGATACCTTAAGCTTAATATCGATTTTATTTGATTGGTATAGCTTTATTCCTCGCGTCTTTACCACAGAATAGTGATTTTCCTCATCGCACACTGCATTGACTAGCCTATTTGATGAATTATACGAAGCTCCGCTGTCTTCTTTGACAAGTCTATTCGAACTTCCGAGATCGAGATGGCTTATGCGACTTTGATTGGTCTCCGATGAGGTAAAGAGTTTTGTTCATTTGTGTTGGCCTACTTGGTAACCCCGGCAACCAGGTAATGAATGATCGAAACCAGTTTTGACTTACCTTTACACAGCGATTGTGCTAAATGCCAATCATCAATTGCTAGATATCCTTTCGTATCCATCATGACCAAGCCTTCAAATTGCAACTGCAAAAAAACAATTCATATGAGTTAACAACAAGTCTATACATAGTTCCTCCTTGGGTTTCGATATCCCATCCGAATACCATGTGGAAGGTAGTGGGGAGGGCTAGTTAATACTATGTCAAAGGTCTGTCAAGTCGCCATCTTTTAATGAGAGTCCACATGGCAAATTTGTCTACCATCGAATGGGTGTGTAGCTTAGACACGATGATTTGTCTTTGTGAGGTGTTGAATTTCACATCATTGTCAGTGTTTGTCCGTCCTAATAATAAACTTCATATTTACCTGTAAGTTCTGGTCATCAGGAAGTGTTATTTCTATCAGATCCCATTTATTAATAACTTGATTACTCAAAGTCCATTTTGAAAGTACAGTTTTAGATTTATCCCTAATATTAATATTGAATATGTCAGATCGGTTAGAACTCGTCTTATATCGTAATAGTAGACATTTGTAAGTATGGCCGTCAACCTTTCCCGAGGTCATATGAGCTAACAAATCTTTATCAGATGGAATTTCTCTGTTAAAAGAAAAGTACAGGTATCTGCCTGAAAAACACAAAGAATCATTGGTATTAAATACCATTGACGCATGCTTGAAAAACTTGTGGTTGGATCTCGATGCCGATTGACAAACATTTAACATTTCAAATAAAACGGTATCGTCAGTGTCAGCGCCAGCCTCCTGAGACTCGGGGTACAAATAGGGGGTACCTTGCTGGCACCTGTCAAGGTTAACTTCAAAATGCAGAAACTTTTTGAAGGCGTCGGAAAGGGTTCACCCAAGAAAATTTTCGAAAAATTGAATTGATTTGGTGCGTTTTGACAAATATTGTGAGACAAAAACGTATAAAAAACAGATTTTATAATTCTATACCTATTCGTGATACACCTGGAAATATTATAACTTCTCTAATAGGCAAAATCATAATAGCTATAATATAATGCATCGTTTTACATAAACTTGGGGACAAACCTTTGTTTGGTGAAAAGTCCGTGGTTGGTCCACTACTATTACCAATTAGCCAGGGGAGACTATCAGGGTCAGAGGCCAAGTTAAAACCACAAACATCTTTATCAAACCCACATTGTATAGATGTTGCCACTGCAATGGAAAACAGTAATTTCCTGAACGAATTTCTGAGTGACAAAAACAAAGGCTTAAAGCCGTTTTCTCTTAGTCCACCCCACCACAAGACACACTAAATATTGCTGCAACAAGTTCAAATTGATCACAAGATCACAAGATACCACTTCAAATCGCAATACTTGTTGATATAAGAATGTAAAATAGACAATCACCCTAAACAGATCAACCAACGAACCAGTCGATTATATCTTATATACATGTATATCTATAACACCTTCCTAAATCAAATTTATTCAGAATCACCAAAAACTCTTTGTCAAACAGAACTGATAACAGCAAGATCCTTACGAGACTCCTCTGACGCTACGGGCCTGGTAACAGCAACAAAAGGTCCAACCATCTACTCCATGCAACGAAATATAATTCAATAAGTTTAGATTAATTAATACATATAACACATTGCCTCAGTATATAGCGCCTCTTGTACCGTGCCCTCTTAGGTGATACTTGTACCCCAATATTGTCACAAGCGCCGAATACCGATTCTGTAGGAAAGTAGTGTTAATATCGAAATCTTAAAGCGATTACCTGTAGCTGGTGGTTCAGTACTTGGCTGTTTTGTTGTTGGTAAACTTGGTGTTGGTGCGTTTGTTGGTGCTGATGTTGGCATTGTTGGCTTTTTTGTTGGCTTTGTTGGTTTTGCTGTTGGCTTTGTTGGTTTTGCTGTTGGCTTTGTTGGTTTTGTTGTTGGCTTTGTTGGTTTTGATGTTGGCATTGTTGGTTTTGCTGTTGGCTTTGTTGTTGGATTTGTTGGTTTTGATGTTGGCTTTTTTGTTGGCTTTATTGTTGGCTTTGTTGGTTTTGCTGTTGGCTTTGTTGGTTTTGCTGTTGGCTTTGTTGGTTTTGTTGTTGGCTTTGTTGGTGCTGATGTTGGCATTGTTGGTTTTGTTGTTGGCTTTGTTGGTTTTGCTGTTGGCTTTGTTGTTGGATTTGTTGGTTTTGCTGTTGGTTTTGCTGTTGGTTTTCTGTTGGCTTTGTTGGTTTTGCTGTTGGCTTTGTTGGTTTTGTTGTTGGCTTTGTTGGTTTTGTTGTTGGCTTTGTTGGTTTTGTTGTTGACTTTGTTGGTTTTGCTGTTGACTTTGTTGGTTTTGTTGTTGGCTTTGTTGGTTTTGTTGTTGGCTTTGTTGGTTTTGCTGTTGGCTTTGTTGGTTTTGCTGTTGGCTTTGTTGGTTTTGCTGTTGACTTTGTTGGTTTTGTTGTTGGCTTTGTTGGTTTTGTTGTTGGCTTTGTTGGTTTTGTTGTTGACTTTGTTGTTGGTTTTGCTGTTGACTTTGTGACTTTTATATTATCAATACCAACATAGGCATAAAAACTTAACTTGGTTGTTTCAAAAATCAACTGTAATTTTATAAAACATATAATGTTAACATGTAAATATTTTTCTCTGAGAATTCAGACAGACAGACAATTGTTATAACATTATGAAATTGTAACTCGCTTATAATTCCTCGTTTGAAAAGTTCATTAGATGCTACCAATGTTTCTCCAGTATGTTGTTCTGGATTTCGGGTTTCGTTTTGATGTTCGAATCGTTAATACTTGGTTTAGTATGACTTAAAGGCCTAACGATCTTCATTATTCTTTGTCAAGGACATCACAATCAAAGTGTTTTCTCCAACTTTCCACACCTATTATCCAATGGATTTGGCTCGAAACTTCGAAACGTGATTTTATTATTTTATAATGAGAGCATGTAGTTTAATTCTAAAGTCTGTAGAGTAGGAATTCATGTCAAAGAATCCCAGTCACAAATATCTAAGTTGCATATTAATTGCTTGTCTCCTTTTCAAAAATATTCTCCATTGTTTTAAATTCATGTTCACGTTTTTTGTGTGTTTGGCTGCTCTAAAGCGGTCAACTAACGATATAATGAATTCATTTACCTGTGTGTTTTTGGTCACACAAATATTGTTTATTTTCGTGTATAGCCATTTGTTCATATTCAATCCAGTAATATCTTTAACAAGAGTTATCTTTCCTGATTCTTGTAATTTGATTGATAAAGTCATTGTGTCAGTGTATGGTAAAATATAATAAAATTCCAAGTCAATACAACCATTTATATTTAATTTGGGTGATACTAAACTTCTAGTGTCACCATTGTGGATATTAATCGAGTTCGATTTGAAATATGCATAATTTCCTGAAAAATATATAAAAAATGACAAGGACTTATACTTCCTACTTTTCTTAACCTGATGAGTATGATTAGTCATACAATGTTCAACGAGAGAGACATTTCGACATCAAGCAATTATATAACGTGTCCAGACTGATGCACACATCATTGTCAGAACATTCGACCTTCATCACTGACAGCAGATAGGAAAATCTGTTGGTTCTATCTACGGATCAAACCACAGACCCACCCAGATTACAGAGCAATCATTCTAGGTGCATGTGGATTATGTATGCTATGTTCCAGAAAGTGCCAAACACTGCGGCCACCTTGTGTGTATTTATATGAGCCAGAGTAGAATTGTACATTATAAAAGGGGTATAATATGCTTCAGAATTGAAATACAGGTTGAAAGAATTCCGCCAATTGTAGGTGGAGTTTAATCTCTTATAATTAACAAGACGAATAGGAGGATAAACAAATGTATGATGAGACAGTATTGCCAAGCGTATCTCATTAAGTACTCCACAAATTGACCTATATTTTTTCATATTTTCAGTATAAACTTCTAGGTATGAAGAGGTTAACACGGTGATAGTTAGACAGTTGAGAACATACCGTCAGTTGTTGGTGGAATACCATGTAATGGATCTTTAGTGATGATCTGTACCCAAGTAGCTGGTTGACCGGATATAGGTGTATAACCACAGAGGTCACTGTCAAAAGAACAGGATCCTGTTAACAGATGACTGCTACTCGCAGTGGTCTTTGGAGCCGTCGATACTGTTGATTTAACAGAGGATATCACGTTCTAAACAGATAATACACGTATTTTCAGTCCAATTGCCGAATGTTAGTCGGAATTTTACGTTTTCTGTGTAAGTAAAAACTTACATATCTAACTTAGTAAATCAAGTACTAGTAACTAAGTAAATTTGATCATTGCTTTTTGGAAAAGTTAAATTCACTATTTAAACGATCTCGTATGGAATGTAGAGGATATTGAAACATGAAGTTCGTTTATTGTATTAAAGACTAACATATATCCAACTTCATTCTAATTAGTGATACGGTCAGCTGAAAATGAATGTAAAGGTAATATTTAAACCGTACCGTAAAGCCTTGTAACAGGAGCTCGGGTTCGATTAGAAGTCTCAAATCATCAAGTGCAATGTCACTTCCATGCTGAGATGACGTAGTAGAGGTAAATTTTAACTGGAATTTCTGAAAATAAAGTTCTGACTTTCAGCAAATATTTCAATATTTGTTAAAAACCCCAAGATCTACTATATTCTTTGAAAATATTGTTTATTGAGGACCAATGTTGTAAAAACGTCTCCCCCTACATAGAACAATAAATAGGTGGGACGCTGGTTCAATTTATCCAAATTACGTCTTTCGTGAGAGTGAATTTAGAAAATAGAAAGTTAGAAAATCACGTGACATTGATTTTTGTGAAACAGGTAAAATATCTAATAGAGGCGCATTTCTTGATGAGATATGTAAAATAATGAGTTTATTAATAGAAAGATTACCGTATTTCTTATAGTGTTGCTATCAATCGGTACAGATGCAAATCTCCATAATTTATCTCTCGAGCTTTCTTTCCAAATCTCTGTTTCTGTACCATTTGCCAACAATGACAAATTTAAACTCCTATGTCCGTTTCCATTCATAATATACCAGAATGTAAAGTTAGTCGGGGCTGACAAGGTAAAGACGTCACTGAGTAACGTGGCTGATGTTAAGGTATTCCACCCAGTCGTATAAACATAATAACCAGATATTGTATTACTATCTGAAAAATAAGATATGACTTAAGGTCTTAAATCTGGCCCTCGTAACCCTCTTCCACAAGATAGTCCGATAGTAAATCACATATTATTATTAATAGTAATATACGAATAACTGAATTGATATCAATTTGAATTACTCTCTACAGCAGCATAAATGTTCCCTGAAAATGTCTGATCTGTATGCCTCGAACACAGTATCGTTAGTCTATCGAGGGCGGAACAAACAAAATTCGATTCATCTAAACAGTTTTCGATGTGCCACATATCAAATCTGATTAAAAACAATCAACCGAAACAACTCTTGCTATTATATTATGGACCTTGTTTTCATGACCATATAAACGTTACCATCTGAAAAACTTACCTGGAAACGTGTGGTCGTGAATAATACCAGAAGATCTATCTGGAGAGTTACCTTTGTTCCTTTTCCATGTTATATTACCCACTGTATCAGGAGTCCAACCACAAAATCCATTTTCAAAATGACAAGATATTGTTCTACCTGTTTTGATGGAAGCAGCATCTACAATAAATGGAACGAAGGCATTAGCGTATTCTGAATGATCAATGATGTATGTTTGATGTTGCTGTTGCTTATCACAACCTCAATCTGGGACAAGAAAGTAGAACAATATAATATTACGTTTTCGGCCATCATTTACCCAATCATGGGCAGAAAAATAGGCCTTCAACTGAAGCCAAATACACGCAGAATCATCCAAAAGGATGAGCACACTCTCTGTTCAGCGTCGCATATTCGATTTATGGTTGAGTATAAAATTTCAAGACTTGCCTGTTAATAGAAATGGAAGCAGACAATGGTATATGAAAATGGTGAAATACTCCATGTTTAAAAATTGAAAATGAAGAATATAACTTTATCTAACGGTATCTGATAATGTTATCATTAACTTTGTACGAACTGATACATGTATAGTGGGAAAGCTTTTATACTTATCACCCCTGATTGTTCTTTTAAAAGGGATTGTAGTTTTATAGATTTATTAACTATTCGATTTGCTTCATTCAAATTTTCAGGCAGAGTTCTGTAGTTCTTGCATATCATATAAAAGGAGTAATATCTAAGCACATTTGCGATAGCGACACAGTTTTGATACTGTGGTACGGAGGGTTTTGGCTCTTTGACCTACCCGCACAACAAGACGCATTTTCCATATCAGCCATATCGAAAAGAGTAAGCATGGTCTGCTTCGCGCACGACACCCGCCACAAAATATCGAAACAATATAGATTTGTATATTAAGTTTAGACAAAATCAGATCAACCTCAGTGGAGTTTCTATGAAACATCAGGTAAGAAGGCCGAACAGGGGGCAAAAACCTTTCAAAGAGGTGCACAGGCCATTCCTTCATGATGTAAACTGATAAACAATTTGAAAGTGGGGGAGCGGCAAAGCCTGGTCAGCCTCTTTTCTGGGGGGCCATTGCCCCGTGTCAACCTCCTGTAGAAACGTCATTGATCAACCTGTAACCTGTATATGCGTTCGTGATGTCGGTGTATAAAAATTATCATTTATCACAATGTTATCACGATAGGATATATAGGCCTCATGTATTGAACTTTCCACTTTCCACTTTCCACTTCTGATATTTTGCATGATGGCGGAATTCAGGCAAACCTTCATATTATTTATGTTCATGCGTAAGTTCGATTTTCGTTATTTTCTCATTGTTACTCATCCATCCTATAGGGTCTACCATTCCCTCCACCTCCAATTCATAGAGGAAAAAATATTAGAATGAGATTTGTACTGTACAACTCTACTCACTCTACTGGTGATAGTCTCTATTGTTCTCATCAGATGAATTTGTCTCGTTATCAAGAAATTTCAGGATTGGGCATACAGATCCATGATTTGGCCAACTGTACCAACTGGTAAAAGCGTCGCTTAGTTTATAATGTTAAATATAGACTCTCATTCAAAATAAAATATAAGAAATAAATATATGGGTATAAAGGAGATTGGAAAGAAAATTCTGATACCTGTTGTCACGGTTTTCGAGGGCAATATCATCACTGCAGTAAAAATCCTTCAATCATAGTTCTTCGTACTGTAATGTTTCTGACAAAACCCTCCTGTTTCCCATGCAACCCTGATGAGCTCTTGTGAATGGAAAATGTGTATCTATCTAGGTCTGGTTGTTGGTGATCCTATCTCCAGATTATCCAGTGAAAATCTGTTAACAGGATCCTGTTCTTTTGACAGTGACCTCTGTGGTTATACTCCTATATCTGGTCAACCAGCTACTTGGGTACAGATCATCACTAAAGATCCATTACATGGTATTCCACCAACAACTGACGGTATGTTCTCAACTGTCTAACTATCACCGTGTTAACCTCTTCATACCTAGAAGTTTATACTGAAACTATGAAAAATATAGGTCAATTTGTGGAGTACTTAATGAGATACGCTTGGCAATACTGTCTCATCATACATTTGTTTATCCTCCTATTCGCCTTGTTAATTATAAGAGATTAAACTCCATCTACAATTGGCGGAAAGCTTTCAACCTGTATTTCAATTCTGAAGCATATTATACCCCTTTTATAATGTAAAATTCTACTCTGGCTCATATAAATACACACAAGGTGGCCGCAGTGTTTGGCACTTTCTGGAACATAGCATACATAATCCACATGCACCTAGAATGCTTGCTCTGTAATCTGGGTGGGTCTGTGGTTTGATCCGTAGATAGAACCAACAGATTTTCCTATCTGCTGTCAGTGATGAAGGTCGAATGTTCTGACAATGATGTGTGCATCAGTCTGGACACGTTATATAATTGCTTGATGTCGAAATGTCTCTCTCGTTGAACATTGTATGACTAATCATACTCATCAGGTTAAGAAAAGTAGGAAGTATAAGTCCTTGTCATTTTTTATATATTTTTCAGGAAATTATGCATATTTCAAATCGAACTCGATTAATATCCACAATGGTGACACTAGAAGTTTAGTATCACCCAAATTAAATATAAATGGTTGTAATGACTTGGAATTTTATTATATTTTACCATACACTGACACAATGACTTTATCAATCAAATTACAAGAATCAGGAAAGATAACTCTTGTTAAAGATATTACTGGAATGAATATGAACAAATGGCTATACACGAAAATAAACAATATTTGTGTGACCAAAAACACACAGGTAAATGAATTCATTATATCGTTAGTTGACCGCTTTAGAGCAGCCAAACACACAAAAAAACACTTTGATTGTGATGTCCTTGAAAAAGACTAATAAAGATCGTTAGGCCTTTAAGTCATAATAAACCAAGTATTAACGATTCGAACCGCAAAACGAAACTGCCGAAACATTGGTAGCATGCATCTAATGAACTTTTCAAACGAGGAATTATAAGCGAGTTACAATTTCATAATGTTATAACAATTGTCTGTCTGTCTGAATTCTCAGAGAAAAATATTTACATGTTAACATTATATGTTTTATATAATTGCAGTTGATTTTTGAAACAACCAAGTTAAGTTTTTATGCCTATGTTGGTATTGATAATATAAAAGTCACCTTGTCTAAATTGGTCAAACCATCAACAACACCAACTACAAATCCAACAACGTCAAAACCAACTACAGAACCAAAACAAATAACGTCCAAACCAACATCAACAAAATCCCCGACCACAAAGCAGCCAACGACCGCAAGACTACCGTCAACGACAGCGAGGAAGCGATCTAATTGTTTTTCGACCGAGGTTGAGAAATTGTGGTATATGAAGGACATGGAGAGATTGGAGTTAGAAAAACAAAAATTACACAACGAAATCAAATCAAATACGGAGAGATTTGAGTTAGAAAAACAAAAATTACATCTCGAAATTAAAATACTTAAAGAGAAATTAGGACAGAAGTAGCTTCCCGACAAAACATCTATTTTGAGAGAGAAATTAATACAATATTTACATTAAAAGCAAAGAAAAATTAAAGACAATAAAGATTGTATCAATTCAGTAGAAATAAATTCTTAAGGTTTATTTTTGTGTTTTTTATAAGTAAAGTTAGTATTGTCTGCAATATGCACACAATAATGGAGTCATTACTCTCACAAATTAAATCATTCTTATTTGCTAACACATTCTGGGCTGCTGATTTTATCTTTGCTGCCCAATTCTTGCCGACTAACTCATTCTATTTTCCTAAATCATTCTTGCTAGATTCTTTCTGAAAGGCTAACCCATTTTACCGGTTGACTCATTTCTCTGGTTTGTTATCTCTGACTTGCTGACTAATTTTGACTGACTGATTTTAGCAGACTTATTCTTGAGTTGCTGATTCATTCTTGCTGATTGACTCGTGCTTTATACGCTGGCCATTGTCACTGGCCGATTCATTCTTACTGGCCATTTAATATGACCGTTACCGAATAAAATATTTACATGTAGCCGGACATAATTTAGGCACTCGTTTATGGCCCCATCAGTTTATTTGTCAGCCAATCAGGTATATTGTTATAAAAAGTCAGAGACAGAAAATCGATTTCTACAGAACGCTGGATAACCAAACATTCACTCAAACTTGCAGACTGGAATTCATACAAATATAACAGGTATTCATGTTGTTTCATTTTAATCAATATATATCCGATTCAATTATGCATTATTCAATTGTTTCGATTTGAATACATGTTCAATACCATATTTACAATTATATAAACGATTATTGAAATCTAGATTCAATAGCTAGCTCCCTAAATTCAGACAATATGCAATATGCCATTGTATATACAGCTCGTTAGAAGCTTCAAACTGAATTAGCATGGAAGTATTAGCTTAAATTTCAAAACAAAGACAGACGTTTTTCAATATAAAAGTATATCTTTATCTATCTCTTAAATTGGTTTAAATGGAAAGAATTTTCTAGAATGCCATTTATTATATAGTACAAAAGATGGAGACCAAAAAATCAATATACGTGCAATTGCGTATAGTATATGAAGGAAGGCTACCCAATTTAGATAAAGACCACAAATAAAGATACCTACACTCGGATACCATTATCCTTATTGATTGTTTTCAAAACTAATCATCTCACCTCTCCGGGGCGAGGCCCGGGATCATTTCATGAAGTGCCCTTTGAACTTATACAAGGCCTGAGAGTGGGGGAAGGGGGCATGGTCCGAGAGGCCCAACCCTAAATACGCCGCTGTTTAGCAGTAAATATTACGGTGGCTCACATACGACATTTTCCACTTTTTATTTTGAATTAAAAACTTTATTTTTCATCCAGGTGATAATTATTTTCACCTAGGTGAAAATTAGGTAATAATTCCTGTAATTTTGAATAAAAATCGAATTTTGTTTCAAATTCTCATTTTAATAGTTAATGATTAATGAGTTATTTCCCTTTATATGATTTCAGGAAATCAAACGCCAAAATGTCGAAAGTATACATCGATTCTAAGAATAGTAAGGGTCAGTTGCCCGCCATGTTGTTTAATGACCCTAAAGTCTGTGAAAAAGGCGTGATTGTGGTACAAGAATGGTGGGGGTTAAATCAGCAGATATTAGCTATGGCTCTTGATATATCAAAACGGGGAAATTTCACCACTATAGTCCCTGATTTATACAGAGGAGAAGTTGCTACCAATAATGAACAAGCTGGACATTTGATGGCCTCACTGGACTGGCCAGGCGCTGTACAGGATATACAAGGAAGTGCTAAATATCTCATTCGTAATGGCTGTACTAAAGTGGGCGTGATTGGCTTCTGTATGGGCGGGGCGTTGTCATTAGCAGCCGCATCATTGGTACCACAGATCAGTGCTGCTGCACCATTTTATGGTATCCCTGCCGCCGAGCTAGCTGACATGTCGAAGATTAAGATTCCGTTGCAGTGCCATTTTGGTGATTATGATGCCCACGTTGGATTTTCATCCAAAAAAGATCAGATTAAGTTACAAAAATTACTGGACGCCGGAGGAGTAAAATATGAATTCTTCGGTTACCCGGCGCATCATGCTTTCACTAACGCCTCCGGACCGAATTATAACGCAGAGATGACTGAAAGGGCTATAAATCGAGCTGTCGATTTCTTCGTGAAAAACTTGGCTTAGAACTACACAAACTTGTCCTGGAAAATGTCATTCTATATTTCTTATTCAATTCGAGAATCCAAAATTACAAATTCAGGAGGGCTCTCTTTAGAAAAAATATGAATTTTTCAAATCACAATGAACTGCACAAGGATTTTACTTTTTTTCAAATTTGTGGAGAACGTGAACAGGTTCCTCTATTGACTTGTGAACGACCAAACTTATCAATGGTTGAATTACTATAGTAGAGAGAGGATGAATTAACATTGTCAACAACAAAGAGTCTTTCGTGACATGTGCCCGAAGACGACTGGGGAAACATGTCAAAACGTTACATAAAACGTGGAGGAAACACGTCATAGTAATTATAATCAATGATTCTCTTTTTCCAGGTGACGAGGGTGGCGTTCTATAGAACATCAATAAATGTATGGTTTGTTATTTAGCACGAAGACAGTTGTCATCATCATACCTGGATTTATAATAGGAAAACTAATCAGATCAAAATCAGATCTGGATCTTTAGTTTCTTGTCTTTATTTTGCAGGTTACACACTTGCCATTTTACGCCAGAGAATACAGCAAATCAGAGCCCTCGACGTAAAGACTGAAAGTAAACAATAAGCTGACCTTCTGTGGGGACTTTGATTGACTGTAGGCACTAATTTACAAATTTGATCAAATAGCTGCATTTACCGAGTATCTTGATAAAATAAACCAACTCTTTGTTATTTTTTGGTAAATTCTATTTGGCAACTTTGTATTCTATATTATACATGTCACGTGATTACATTTTAACTATAATATATTCTTCAATATTTATACTTCTTCTAGTTCCAGCTCTGTATCAGCTCTGTATCAGCTCTGTATCAGCTTTAAGAATATAAGACGCGTGAGTTTCATTCTAAATAGTGATAGGAATAGCCAAAAAGCTCTTAAAGTTTGCAAAGCAAAAATTCACAATATTCCTATAACTTATTAGCTATGAAGTACAATTCAATTTAAGCCTCCATGTCCCATAACTTTTAATCTAGAGTATCAATATCATGTACAGTGGAGCCGCGTTAATCCGGTTGCCGATAATCCGAAACCCCGATATCCGCACGCTTTTTTACTGGGAACGGAATATTTCCGTTAATTCGGTGCTCCGGTTTCCGGTTCCGACCGACTGTGAACCAATTTTCATATTCTATAGTAATTAGTATTCATCATCCGGTCCCTTGTCACTGTGAGTTCTTCTAACCGGCTGTACATTGACACTATTAAAAACCTTATATATGATGGATATTGGTTTTATACAAGTTCAAATCTTTTATTATTACAGGCTGGTGCCCTCATTGCGCACTGAATGGTAATGCCCGAGTTCCTCACACAATCTGGACAACAACACATTAAAATCCATGCGTAATATTAAATTCTGCCAGGCTAGTTTCGGATAGCCCTTAAGTAAATATCGTCAATCAAACGTTGCTATTATAGAGTTAATGCATAATGGTCACAGTAAACGTCTTCTGCTTTTAGTTTGAAAATCGTATGTTTCACTTAATTTTAATATATACTTCAAAGCAGCACGATGTTGGGTTTTATCCATAAATATATCCAACAAAATGCAATGTAAAAAAATCCCTTTAACTCCAAATCCTAGTTCTGACAAAATATCTTCCATCGTCTTCTGTCATCTGCCCATTTATTAACGAATCGAACTTTTCCTCTAATTTCCTTCCTCTTCAACAAAATCTCTATACGATTTATTCACCAGATATTGTGGTAGCGACGATGACTTCCGGTTCCAGAAATTTTTCAGCTTTTCAGTCAAGTGTTGTTTTACCTCCGGTGTAAATATCCAAAACGAGGCGAAGAACACTGGCTTGAGCATTGACACTTGAAAACTCGTCATCATTAATATGAGAAGAATTTCAAGATTGTTCATAATTATTCGGTTATTAACGATATGAATTGGTAACAATAAAAGAAAACATACAATATTTAAAACAACCATGGTTTTAGGATGGAGTGGATCTGCCTCTTCATTGAGAAGTGCAGGACGAAAAGCTACACTTCCTCTATTAGTTTCTATCCATCCCTTGATGATAAAACCCATAGTAATGAATACCAGAATCATGGGCAAATAATAGTTTAAGATCAACATTGTTATCAGAGCCCATCTATACAAAAATAACGGACATCGATTGGCTGACCAAATAAAGGCGGTAAGTTGATGTAATCCAGTAATAATCAAAGGCGTTACTATAACAACTGTTAGTATCCACGGCAACATTGATACAACTATTTTGACCGGAAGTTGTAATGATTGTCTGATATTAATACACCGGAAGTTGTATTGCCTGGTTACAAAATGGATGTTGATTATCAATAATCCCACAGAAGTTATCATGGCATGCGCATGGATCACTAGAACTTGTAAAACCACATGGAATTCACAGGCGACAGTCACTTTCTGTTGGATTCCAAAGTCAATAAAAAATGGCATCCCTAACATGCCAGTTAATAAGTCTGCACACGATAAACTAACCACTAGCATATATCTGACGTTATTTCGAAGTTTTGGTGACGTCAACACAGTAACCAAAAGTAGGAGATTTGTAACCAAGATGGCGACTGTGATGATAATGCTCAAGCTTGTAGAAATGTCTTCAATAAGTTTTACAAATTCTGGACTTATTCCAAAATTGAATTTCGTGGTGTTGAAATTTGGTTGAGTAAAATTCCACTCCGTCCAATTCATCTCGACTAATTTCATCTTTAATGCATATAAGGCCAACCTGAAATAACAATGAAAATTTCGATTTCAAACGGACTATGGGAGACATTAATTTGGGGTAGTTTCATTAGCCACAAACCACTAGTAAGCCGAGCTTGTACAGTCTCATTTATCCTTTTTCCCACAAATTATAGACTGTCTGTGTTTGTGTCAGGAAACGTCACCGGATATGAATATTTATCTATTTTCAATTACTAGTATAGGTCCTACATGTGTCTATCATGATGAGATATGTAGAAACTTAATACCCAATTACATTATGTTGAATAATCTCAGAATATTTGTAACATCGACATCGCCTTACGCGGCAGGGGTTTCCATCCTGTGGGTAATTAACCCCAAGGGAGTAATGGGGGTTAATGAGACATTTTTGGACAATCGTAAAAAGATTCATTATTCTATACAATTCACAATAATTCAAATTCTATAGTCTGTATTCTGTATTTTCCATGCACTAAATTATACTTCCAACATCTAGTAAACATTGTAGGGCTTTGAATACCGGATTAAAATAAATTTCAAATAAACTTCAACCATACTTACCACAGAGAAACTACTATTGTGCCAGGCAGTTGAGCAAATACGTTAACTTTGTGAGATTTTGATAAGAGAATATGGAGTAAAAGCTGAATAAAGATAAACATTCCTTGCCATACTTGATAACTTTGCTTAGACACATTTGCACGACTTTAATTGAAAACGGAAATGAAGCATCCATCGTCCGCTTATCCCCTGTAGAACACAGCATCAAGGCACAATAACTGTGTATAAAGAAATTCTTCAGGAATACGCCATAGATAAATGTAAACAAAAACTTACCACAAACAGCTTGTCTGGCCTTCAGAAATGAAGCCACAAAAACATACAAAGTTTCTTCAGTAACCTAATTCTGTGGTGGGCGGGGCTTGACTTTCTCCAGGCCGATATGAGTAGAATAATGACCTCGATTCTGTGTTCAACCAGAATCTACATCTGATATATGGGTTTTACCATATCACAGGATGTATATATACATGTTTTTGTGATGCGGTTATAACTAATCCTACTGACATTCACATGACATGCAATCCCAATAATTCAATCAAATTATATGGAGCTTAACGTCATACGTCTATGAATTAACTGGGCTAGATAAACGATTAAATGTTTTAATAATCTGCTATTTCGATTTGAAACTAGCTGAATCAATCAAACTTTACATTTTACATACGTTTCTGATAATTATGCTGAGAGTTTAAAGGGCAAGAATTAGATAAAATGTTGCATTATAAGACTACTTTTATGTGCCATACTTAGCAATGATGATGGGTTTTACCTTTTAATGCATTTTTAAAACAACAAGGTTTGCCTGTTACTGAAACAGCAAGTAGTCTGTATTGTGAAATGTTTCTGTTATTGGGACAAAGTGTAGTCTGTATTGTACCAGACAAATCATGAAATATTTCTGTTTCTGAAACAGCAAGTGTAGTCTGTATTGTACCAGACAAATCATGAAATGTTTCTGTTATTAGGACAAAGTGTAGTCTGTATTGTACCAGACAAATCATGAATTGTTCCTTTTATTAGGACAAAGTGTAGTCTGTATAATACCAGCCAGATCATGAAATGTTTCTGTTATTGGGACAAAGTGTAGTCTGTATTGTACCAGACAAATCATGAAATATTTCTGTTTCTGAAACAGCAAGTGTAGTCTTCATTGTACCAGACAAATCATGAAATGTTTCTGTTATTGGGACAAAGTGTAGTCTGTATTGTACCAGAAAAATCATGAAATGTTTCTGTTTTTGTGACAAAGTGTAGTCTTCATTGTATCAGACAAATCATGAAATGTTTCTGTTATTGGGACAAAGTGTAGTCTGTATAATACCAGCCAGATCAAAAATGTTTCTGTTTTTGTGACAAAGTGTAGTCTTCATTGTACCAGACAAATCATGAAATGTTTCTGTTATTGGGACAAAGTGTAGTCTGTATAATACCAGCCAGATCATGAAATGTTTCTGTTATTGGGACAAAGCGTAGTCTGTATTGTGAAATGTTTCTGTTAATTGTACCTGACAAATCATGTAACGTTTCTGTTATTGTGACAAAGCGTTGTCTGTATTTTACCAGACAGAATTGTTTCTGTTATTACAATCCTAAACCTTTCCTATTATTAGATAAGTGTAGTCTATTGTTCATGTTATTCATGTTATTCTGTTTGCTGCCATAATTCACTCTCGCCTGAAGACTATGAAATCGCCTTCAATTTATAGGAATATAGTAATGTAAATATCTGAATATTTGATTACAATTTAATTTGGGATACACACATAATTTTTAACGTGCGTCTAATGCGATATTTCTGTAAGTGTCATCTTTAAAGTTATATTTTTCAACCTATGTTATTGCAGACGAGCTCAATGTCAGATTCTCTTTCTGAGATAAAGACACAAGCGATACACTTCTTAAACAGCCATCTAATGATGGTATACAAATCTATGAAAGCGTCTACAATGTACATCTCACTGAGATAAGTGTAAGTTTTGAAAAGCAGGAATATATTCAGTATGGCCTGGTAGGAAAACAAGATACACAAGATGGTTGACTGGTATCATAGTTCAGTCTTGATAAAACTAGGTCATATTACTTCTATAAATCTTATTCTTTAACTCGAGATGTCTCGCAATAGATTAGTTAAATTCCTGAAATTAATTTCTATTTCATAGAACGCAGTACTAGAAATGATTCGCTTTGGGTTTGAAGATGTGTCTTTTGCTCCCGTTTGTCTTTGCTGTTCCAGTCGCAGTATGTACCCTGAAAATGGCTGTTCTTGTTTATCATTCAAAAGCACAGAATCATAATCAGAACATTTACGACATACCATTATATTTGGGCTCTCAGATCAAAGTTTGCCACAACTAACGCGCACAAAATCTTCGTAAGCATGCCAAGGATTGCAACATAAATCAAGGCCATGCTTAGATGAACATTTCAGATTGCTCAAGAAACTTATAATTCGTAATATTAGCGGCAATACTAGTCACTTGATTTTCAATTCGACTGCTTCAAGCCCATGTTGCAGGTCAGAGAAGGTGAAAGAAAATCTGATGGGACAAAATACTTAAGTACCACGACCGTCATCTGTTACCATTAAGTGATAGTGGTCTTGCTCAGAAGAAAGCGAGTACGATTGTCCTCTCAGCTCTGAGGCGACATGTATTCGAATCCTCAAAGGTAATAACAATTCTGATTCTATGGCCAGTGCTGACAAAAGTCGAAACTCCATTTCTTCTACAAGCTATAATAATAATCATATCCTCTCTCTCTGTTATATATTTCCAACTTGTGGAGGTGTGGGGGTACCAAAGTACACTGAAATACACGAAGGGTATAACAACTTATCTATATATGTTCTGGGCATGATTGTTATCAACTTTAATCAGAGGTACAAGGTCATAGGTCAAAGTTCACCACTAATTGTAAGCATGATGTTAATTATCTGATAAGGATATCTTATGATGTTGTAAAGAAAATGGTTATGAGTTTAAATAGTAATAGGCTTATGCGTTTTCAAATTTTCGTTAAGCTACGATGTTCTTCTTGTACTCATGAGTTGACTTTGCATCTTAAAGATCCTTTGACAGTTGGAAATTGAAATAAAGTAGGTTAAAGCCACCACTCTGTCTTCTTGCACTCGTAAGTTGACAAAGTTGTTAAAGATCCATTGAACTTGGAAGATAGTAAAATGATGCCACAATTCTGTCCCAAAATGCACTCATTACCCACTTCATAGCGTTACCCGTTCTCTTTATTCCACCAAAAACTAACTAATTTCGTCGTTTGTTCATTCATTTAAAAATTCAGGGTTTTAATGTTCAGTGACGTAGCGAGGGTATGGATTATAGAGAGTGCAAGTCAGGAGGTCAGGGGGGTCTGTTTATGACAAAATTTCTAATGTAGGAAACCCGAGAATACATTTAACGCAATTTTGAAAGTGAAAGTAGAGTAAAGTACAGTTTGTATTTTTTAAGGTCCAACCCCACTGTAATGTGATATTATTCATTAGGAAGTGTTCCCATACATGATAGTATTATAGTGTAACCGAAGTTGGAGTATACGAACTGGTTATTTTATATTGTTTGTTTGTTATTAACTGAAATAAACAGCGAACTATGACCTTCTTGTTAATTGGTCAGATCCGGAGTAAATTCTACGCCAAGGACTTTGTTCACACTTCCACTGTATTGTTTTCAACATGTTTTAAGTACTTGACATGAACCTTCGACTTACTATGCTCGTTGTAAGTTGACTTAAAGCTCCTAGACCTGTTTCTGTGCAAATCAGAGCTATAAATATTCTTATCTGTGATAAAATGATTAAATAAGGGTATTTAGCGCTCTGATTTGTACAGATATCATACAACTCTTCCATTCCGTTAAAACTAAGCAGTAAAGAGTTTTATAAGGCAACGGTGAAGCAAAATGTGAATGAGTAGGCAATTTTTAGTTAGAAATGCCGCCATCTTGTAAGGGAGATAAAATATATCATTATGTTATTGTGGTCTGGTGGTCTGTGGGAGCTGCGTCATTTCCGGTTAAATCTTTCTGGAATTGCAGGAATCACAGGCATCGGGAGAAGAATTAGAATGTCCCAAATAATGTAGCTGGAAAACCCTTTTACAATCCCTTTAAGAAACTATATTGGGTAACATCAATGTTCACCATTTCCATAACAAATGGACGCTCATCTCTATTAGGTAATATCCATCGTCACAATTTCAATAACAAATGGACGCTCATCTCTATTAGGTAATACTCATGGTCACCATTTCAATAACAATTGGACGCTTATCTCTATTAGGTAATATCCATGGTCAACATTTCAATAACAAATGGACGCTCTATTGGGTAATATTCATGATCACCATTTCAATAACAAATGGACGCTCATCTCTATTGGGTAATATCAATGATCACCATTTCAATAACAAATGGACGCTCATCTCTATTGGGTAATATCCATGGTCACCATTTCAATAACAAAGGGACGCTCATCTCTATTGGGTAATATCTATGATCACCATTTCAATAACAAATGAACGCTCATCTCTATTGGGTAATATCCATGATCACCATTTCAATAACAAATGGACGCTCATCTCTATTGGGTAATATCCATGGTCACCATTTCAATAACAAATGGACGCTCATCTCTATTGGGTAATATCCATGGTCACCATTTCAATAACAAATGGACGCTCATCTCTATTGGGTAATATCGATGATCACCATTTCAATAACAAATGGACGCTCTTTTGGGTAATATCCATGGTCACCATAGTAATAACAAATGAATAATCAACATTACGAACAGTCCCATTATAACAAATAGAAAATACGTCCATCAATATCCTGTTTCGTTTACGGTGCTTTATCCAATAAACCAGTTTATTGCTAATTTCAATCATACGAAATTGGGTCATTATATAATACAAAGAATCAGATAAATAAATCTAGTTTAGAGATATGAAAACAATAATTTTATCATTTAATTTCGTATTAAAGTTATCAATTAACACACTGCTCTATATTTTTATCGATATCGGTATCCCGGATGATTCATAATTAGGATGGGAAATTAGCAAAATAACGGTTGATCACCATCGACTGTGTAACTGTGGGTATTGGGAAGGGAGTGGTAAGCCCTTCTGTTCTGATGATCATAGAGACTCACAGTCCTCGTTGAAGGAATTCCTGCTGTAGGGATAATGTATATGGATAATGTTGATAGTTAAGAATGCAATGTATACTGACACTCAAGGTCTATCAGCTGGATTACAGAATCATGAAGAATGTATTCTATCAAATTCTATTTCAAACGGATACTCAATTCCAGATTATTGCACACTGGGGTGACGTCAGTTGTATAGATTTAAATCAGGAAATAAAAATACCCTCTCTCTTTTTTTTTGTTTTGTTGATCATCATGTCTTTCTCACACAAACAATTTCATATCATCATAGCACACAAGAGCAACAAAATAATATGGTCGCCTTCGTATAAAACAATTGTGAACAATATCGGTTCATGTTAGCCTTTGAAAAGAAAGGCAAATATTCTTTGATTTCTTATTTGGCAGATAAGCCCATTCCTCGATCTCTAGAGCACCAATACCAGGATATGACTCGGCATTCACTGAAAGTAGTGATGGAACCTTACAAAGCTTTGAAATGGCTAGGTGTAAAGGTCGCAGATTGGTGGGGAGAGAAATATTGCTGATGAAATATAAAAGGAATTATAGAAAGAAAAATAAATTGTTGACTTCTCTGTGTGTGGAACGGAGAATGGTTTTTCCCGAAATAAGTTCAAAAAGCAAACTATTTCTCATTAAGTACATGTGTAATTAAAGTAAAAGATTACGGTTATTGCCCTGGTCCTATTATATAAGATAATAACAGTAAAATATCTCGATGGTGACGTCAATGTTCGCATTATCAATACACGTTTCTACGAAAACAAACTATCTGCGATTTGAACATCCAAATACGCGACGCAATAGGTTTGAATATTAAAGCACTGCGAATGAACTCAATAATGTTATAGTACAGATACACGCAACTAATAAAATAAGGTTTCATATAATTGTGTTCCTTGTAAAGCCATGAAATTCAAAAAGTAAATGAATATGAAATGCTTTACGCAAGGTTAAAATGAAAATGCGCTCTATAAAAGGTTTGTCATTTCGCACAAAATTCCTTTCAAATTCAGATAAATAAACCAATTGGAATTTTCTTAAATTAGCCTTAAATTTCCTGTCATGCAAGATTTGTATAAAAACAAAATGGCGTTTGTGACGATTTCAGTGAACAATAAAACCTTACATTTTGTTTTGTTCTCACACTTTCATTTTTTTCTGAAACTGCAACACTGAGAATAACATAACCTATCTTAAAAATGATTACTTCCATTTAAGACTAATTGCTATGCTCTTTTATCCTCTAGTGTCCACAAATAACAAAATGGCGTCCATTTAAACGACTCTGACCGATTGCTGACAGTACAAGGTTTTCGGATTATCTGATATCATGCAACTTGCGTTGATATGATATCTATACTAAAATATTGCCGAGTTCATCGAAATATTTAACTTTGGACCGTCAGTCATCTAGAGGTCGGTATAAAAGAGACCTTGTTCAAGTGGCTTGCTCATTACTAGACCGCTTTTAGTACATTCAACATGAAGGGGCCGATAATGCTGCTCCTTGCCCTTGTGGCAGGAGTTCTCGCAGGTAAGAACATTTGAATATTCAAACTTTGATTCACAGAAGTTTTAAGAAATATAAAAGTAGAATAAAAAAGGATTAATTTAATGAAAATTTAAACGAAAATTCATCAGAATTGCAAAAAAAAAGTTACTATTGTAGTTCAAATATCGGTTGGTGCAGTCATGAAAACATTAAGTGACCAACACTCAGACACAGAAAACTAGACATCAGTTTTCTGATGATTGTCGGAAGCAAGAAATGGGCTAATGAACCACAATGTTCTGTAGTATTGCTAAATGAATTGGTAATTTCAAACAATTTTGTTCATAGATCGGTGATATAATCACATGCGATCATGGTGTCTTTATTTTGTTGGTTTGAATCAACTCAGTTCAATAACAGATGGATATTTTGGGGATTTATTTTCTCTGATTTATGGTTACCCTGCACTCCTATTGGATTTCTGTTCCAGTCTTACCCTTTTTGGTACCAATTATGTCGAGTCTTCAATGATCCTTGATAATATGTTTGACATACAAAGTGCAATGCTGAATTGTATTTATCCTATTTCAGGGCCAATCAATGTACGATATAACGAACCAAACGTTTGTTCTACAACATGCACAGGTAGGTGTTTATTGCTAAAATTTCTTCCAATTACAATTGGGGTTCCCTGGGATTCCCTATAAATGTACAAGGTGTCGCTAGCGAAGCAGTGTTAGCTCTTTCTATCGCAAGTGAAAGACGATATACGACCACAACATTTTCCTTTGCAGAATCATCGAAATTCAAATACGAACCAGGAACGACTTATGTTTTCGACTACAATGTACAAACTGAAACAAGTATGGAAGGTGCCTCAGCAGACAAAGCAGTTATGGGAATTAAAGCCACAGCTCATGTCGAAGTCATGTCGAAATGTGATATGGCTTTAAGGGTATGTACTACTTACTTACTTATTTCTTACTTTCGAACAATGATACTTGTTTACGCTCTATGATACTTACTTCTGATCTACCATACCTACTTTTGATTCAAGATTCTTACTTGCTAGCTATAGTTTGATGAATAAAATGAAGTTTTACACCCAAATGCATCCCATCCAGTTTATACGCTTAAAAAGAAAAACAGAAGTTCAAAGATGATAAGCGTATTTTCCATGAAGATATTTATGTCAAGTTATATATTATTTTACAGCTGTCTGATGTGCGATTGTATCCAAAATCTGACTCTCAGTTTACCAATAGTTTGGAAGATCAAGCTTTGAGATTCTCTTTCCAAGATGGTAGAATTGAAGACCTGTGTCCAGTTGACGGTGAACCACACTGGGTACTCAATATCAAGAGAGGTATCTTATCCACCTTCCAGAACTCTATGGACAACTTGGAATTGGATCAGACCACCCACGAGGTAAGTTCATTTAGAGAATTTTTGCTTTAACGAATACTATTTGATAAAAGATCATTTAAGGTGTCCTATATATAATCCACCATCGGGGCAGATCATTACGGCGTCTCGACTCGGTAACAAGATCAATGAAGCAATGTATCAAATAAGTACAAAATTACAATAGTATAGTAGCAAGGTAGCTACACCATTAGAATATGTCGAAAAATTCACAAATTAAATGCATTATACCTTCAAAATTGCAAATGCATAATTTCCACCATTGTGATGCTTGATTGTTAGATCAATTGATTTATTTTTTCTACAGACTGATGTAACTGGTAAATGCCCAGCTGAATATAAACTTATCAGCAAGGGCTGGTATACTAAAGCTATCAAGAAGACGAAGAATTTATTAGGTTGCATGGACAGACATGGATGGAGAAGTGCTGTTCAAGCCTCACCTTACAGAATTCCTTCTGTAAGTTAACAATGTTAATCAGACACCATCGATAACGAGAATTATATTTATGCACCTGGGGCCTTATTCTTGAATTTAATTCAAAACGATTTTAGTATTCCAGTCACCTGAGTGGTCAATCACTAAACTTTATTTTAAATTGTTATCCAATCAGATTACTGTATTTACATCTGGATTTCATTGAAGTTAAGTTTTAAAGAATAAGTCCCCAGATACCATCAATATGTTATATCATATCAAACGGTTTAGATGGTTTTAGATTCCAATAGACTTGTTGATAGAATAATAGAATATTAAAACAGAACCTGAAGCACTTTGTTATTCAGAGTTTCACGCTATGTGATCTTCAGACATCTGTACTTTTTCAGCCAGCGTCCTTACTGAAGTTGACAAGAAATACCTGTTTTTTCTACACTTCGACATAGTTATATCATTTGGATATGATTTCTGAATTTAGAAATCAATCTCACACTCCAGTATTTGCTTTTTCACCCATAAGTCTTGAGAACAATCTGTCTAAGAACTACAAGAAATAAGAAAGTCCACAACATCATTTTACCGTCAGCGCGACAGTTGTAGATCACCGATCAAACATTTTATTTGACAGTCTTATCTTACCACAGGAGTTACAGTCTCTACCTCTGATGAAGAGTGAACACGAGTGTGACCAAGAAATCGAAAATAGAGGCTATGTTAAGAGTACAGTGTGTAAAGAGACTCACGTCTTTAGACCATTCTCCCACTATAACAACGGTTCCTCTACCAAGGTTCTTCAGAAACTCACCTTCAACCGACAGATTAAACAAACTACCCTTAGACCCAGTAAGTTGCTTTTATCATTTGGCTGGTATTTTAAGAATTGTTGCTCTTCTGGGCCTAGGTTTTCCTTTCTCTAGAGGGTATCCTTGAACAATGTATTGATCTACCACAGTACAAAGGTCAATAGTCAAAAACTATTTTGAAAGGAAATGTATCGCAATAGCAAGTTAGAAATATGAATAAGACATACAGATTCAGAACGGCTAGACCATCATTGAAGAAGACGCTACATCAGAAGAAGGTAAACCGGAATTTCACTCACAATACAATGGTTATATCATATTATATAAACTGAAAGTATATGTATGCACCTTGTTTACAGATACTGTGAACACCAGAACCACCATGCTGTTTACCCATTCTGAGGACCATCCCAGCATTGGGCAAAACCAGAGATTGGTAGAAGCTAAACTTGCTGATCTGTGCACCAAATCCAAAGTTGACATTCGTCCAGAAATTCCAGAAATCTTTGCTGAAATGATCTTCTTAATGAGAAGCCTTGATGCAACAGCTTTGAGAGATATCTACAGACAAGCTGAACGAGGTAGTATCTGCCGAGACAACATCGAGAAGACGAAGAAATTCTTCCTTGATGCTATTCCAATGGTCAGTACCAGCAGTTCCGTCCAACTCTTGAAAGAATTGTTAATCAGTAAAGCAGTTACTGGAACTGAAGCTGATATGTGGTTAACATCTTTAGCTTTGATTCAATCACCAACACGAGAAATGATTTCTGAAGTAAAGGTAAGTTGTAAATGCACGCTTAATAAATAAAAGGTGATATGTAGTAGACGTAGAAAAGAAGTCAGTTAATGGTAAAATAGTATTGATCAGATTAGTATGGATGGATGGTCCTGTCTAACATTCAGCCCATGGGGACAATATAAGAAATGAGTGAAAAAAAACAATACTTCTCTCAATCTGCACTGCAATAAGCATTGTTGATCGTGTCGCTAGCGAGGCAAGATATGCTCACTCAGAAACACCTATTGTCAAGTTTTTCTCTGTATATACAATAGGGTGAACGGACAGTATGCTCAGAAAGTTGATAACATAGATATTTAATTGTTTATTATCTCAAGCCATTTCAATTAATCATATTCAAATTATATTTATGTCTGTTAGCTTATTTTACAATGTCTTCATTTATAGGCTATCCTGAATATGAAAGATTTAGAAGAGACGGCTATGTTACCTATCACCTCACTGGTCAATAACTACTGCAGCAAGAACACTAAATGCTCAGAAGAATACGAAGTTACTGGAATTATCTCAACTCTCGAGAGAAATCTGGGTTATGGCTGCTATGTTCGAGATGAAAATCTTGAAAAGGTAAGAATCAAACCCTCCCTTCTATAAAATCTATTTATATGTCTATATATCTATTATATGTGACTTATTTTAAGGCCCTCTGTAGCGCACAAAGTGTTTCGTTGTGGCATCATAGGGGTTTTAAGGTATCATAAGGTCAATTATTGCAACGATACCCAATTGTCTAACAGCGATAACCAGAATGGCTTACAGAAAGTTTACACATAGGAATTTATCCTCACGGATCTGAGACTATACAATAACTGTTCATGTTTTCGTATCTAGGTACTCTTGACCCTGAGAGCTATTGGTAATGCCGGACACAGTGCCACTGTTGGTTCTTCAGTTTCTAACTGTTTCACCAGACAATCCAACCCTGCTGAAGTCAGAGTTACTGCTCTTGATGCCTTCAGACGTCTACCATGCTCCATTGATGTAAGTATTATAAAGCATTCTCGGAATCTAACAGGGAGGCCTCTTTTGTTTGAATGGTATTGTTTGCGAATCAACTTGTCGCGACGAAAGCACGTTAAATATTTCCAAGACACTGTCCCGTCTCTCAGTGCAGACTGCATGGCATTGTTCATTTTCAATCAGAAGCTAAACCATAGGGCGTAGATTATGACATTTAATTTACTTTATTTTGGACACCTTCAAAACTGTCATCGGATTATCCTTTTTACAGAGAAGTGAACCATTATCCATTCTTCGCGATACCGACGAAGACTCTGAAATAAGAATAGCAGCTTATTTGGCTATTATGAAATGTCCATCAGACGATCTTATCAAGGACGTTCGAACCATCTTGGAAGCTGAAGAGGCCAATCAAGTCAGCTCCTTCATCTGGTCACACCTTACCAACTTGATGGAAACTTCTAGCCCACATAAACAGAGCATCCGAGACATCGTTCAGGACCAGAGATTGAAGAAATCCTTTGACTTGGAAAGAATAAAGTATTCCAGAAACTACGAGGGATCGTTTATGTTGGAAAGTTTGAATACTGGTGCTGTTGCTGAGAGTAATGTCATCTGGTCCAGCAAATCCTTCATCCCACGATCAGCCATGGTCAATCTAACAGTCGATCTGTTCGGTAGTTCCGTTAATCTGTTTGAATTGGGTGGACGTGTTGAAGGTCTTGAGTACCTGATTGAGACTTATCTTGGTCCATTTGGTTATTTCGGAGAAAAGAGCTCAAAAGACAGCATTGCCAAGGTAATTATTAACATTTCAATAATTCATATGAAAATATACATATGTCACTTTAGTTTACGACGTGGTCGCTTCCTTATAAAAGAATATCTGTTCATTAAACTAGCTCTTACACATACACATATAAAGAAAATGGGTCTAACATCGTGCAAGGTGTTTAGAGAGTTATTTATTATTTAATTTCAACTTTTAATCAAAGTCTAATTGGAACTTTCTTTTTAGTTTCTACTGTGTGTAATTGTGTAATTCAATTTCATTGTAGAGCCGAGAGCAATTAGATAAATTACGAGCATCTATGTACATGAGAATGTTTGGAAACGAAATGTCCTTCAGCCACTTCAAAGGAATCAAAGCATTTAACTCAGAGAAATTTAACTATTTGGATTTCCTGATCAAGATCTCCAAAGAACACGACTATTCCTACAGCCAGAGCATGATGTTCTTGGACAGCAGTGTCATTATTCCAACCACTTCCGGTTTACCATTGAACCTCACTGTAACTGGTGTGTCTTCTATGGATCTCAAGGCTTCCGGTTCAGTTGATCTGAGAAAGGTCGCCGCTAGCCCAAGAAGTCTGAATATTGATGGTACTATTAAACCAAGGTATGTATATTGCATTGATTGTTAGACTGCGTTGATTGAGTGTAATACATGGGCCATCTCAGACCTCCCAATCTGTTAAAATGTATGGTGCGTCCATTTATACTATATTAATTTTGAATTGTAGTTTAATAGTTTTGTCATGTCAAGATTGCAAAACCCGAATATTTTAAAACATTTGGCATCGAAATGCTATGGCTATGAACTTTGTTGCCTAATCTAATCAGATTTAGAAAAGCAGGAAGTAAAACCTGTACTTCATTATTCCATATTCAAGTGAATGAATTATTACAAATTTCATTACAGTGGTGCCGTGACCATTACTGGAGCCATGTCCGTTGATGCATACGTCACTAAGACAGGACTAAAGATGACCAGCACGCTTCACTCTAGTACGGCTGTCACTGGTAGAATTCGATTGGAAAGAGGCAAGATCCTAGAAGTTGTTTTTGAGATGCCACAAAAGAAGATGGAAGTTTTGGATGTAAAGTAAGTATTAAGTTTACAAGTTGAAATAATAAGGATGACAGACAAGAACTGGTTGGGCTTTATCAAGGGATCAAGGTATAATACTTACCTTTAAGTTAAGATTTAAAACTTATGTTTACTTGAAAACAGCTGTACAGTTGCCAAAGAGTAGCAAAAAAGCACAAGTATACGCAATAATATCAATTTTAAATTGTAGGTCCCGATTTTTCACCATTAACGGAGAGGAAGAACGAGAACAGGCCATGATCACTGAAAACAGAAAAGAGAAGACCTTCTGTACCGGAAGTAAACTTGCCGAGATTGTTGGTCTTGAATTATGTGGTGAAGTGAAATTCCCTAATGCTTCTCATCAAGACGCTGCTCCCTATTTCCCTTTCACTGGCCCAACATCAATGAGTGTGGTGCTTCACAAGAGAGATACCCATGCTGGATACAAACTCCTTGCCAAACGTACTGAGGTGAGGAAGCTGATTCATTTATTATATCTTTTAGGAACATGTCCATTGTTGATTATGTGAATGTATCTTAGGGCTTTGATTTAGAAATTACTTTATGGATTATTATTCATTTCAATGATTATTTATAATTCTTGCACTAAAAAAACCATGTGATTGCTCTGCGTATGTTTAAAGTGCATTTGTGAGGATGCGTTAGGTTAAATCCATTAAAAAATCAGATTGAAACACGGTATCATTATGAATTACACTGAAGTCACTCCGTATATTTCAGACCAAAGAACAAAGTATAGCTCAGATCGCCTTTGATACTCCTGGATCATCTAGAGTAAAGAGAGCCATAGCTATGGATGTTGTCCTCAACTTCCCCAATAAACATCTTGAAGTCAGCACCACTTCACCATGGGCTGCGATGATGTTGAAGGGTATGTATAGCCATAATGAGACAGATATATACCCATGGCGTCAGTTATCATAATGAAATAATTGTGTCCAATATGTTAACAGTAACATGGATACTCAAAACTGCAGAGGATTGCACTTTGTATATTACTATAATTCAGTTAATTTGTTATTCGAAACATCTAGATTCAACAGGAGCATATATCAATCTTGTCCAATCTTCAAATTACACCATTCTGATTTTACCAAAGTCGAATAATCTCAAATCATTTTCATGTTTTTAGGAAAAGTCATCAACGAAGAGACAAACAAAGCATTTATTGGTAGTTTTGAGAAAGATGGCGCTAGATATTCTGTCAATGCCATTGTCGATGTTGAAAACAAGGGTCCCATGACCAAATTGTCTCCTCGAATTGAAATTATTCGACCACGTTCCCCAAAGATCATCTTAGCAGGATCCATGGATATTGAAGGAACCAAAAGATTTGCTACCGACCTGTCTCTAGTGGGAGCTATCAACCATCCAATATCTGTTAAAGGTAATCCCATGTTTCTGTCGTTAAAGGACCTCAGAACAACGTTGCGTTGTACTAACGTTTTCTTACAGGACGCAAAACTTAATTTTGATGTACTTTTGTCAGTTTTTGTGTAAATTCCCTTTGTTTGTTTTGTCTATTTTATTACACTTTCATTAGACTTTCATTCTTGATCAAAAGTTCGAATTAGAATCATATACATGTATTGTATTATCCGATTGCGACTTGTTCCAAATAGTGTGATAACGAGTTGGACATGGTCATGCCATTTTCGATAGTGGCATTCTGAGTAGATATATATAAAGTTTTCAATGTGTTAAATAAGTAGATGTCCTATTAAAATTTCCATTTATCGTCTTTGATAGGATCAATCGTTGATACCAAGATGGAAAAGAGTTTCGATGGTCGACTCCAGTTTGATAAAAGTGGTGAATACATCATCGTTACCAAACTCTTGAAGGAATCCAGGAAGACTTCCATGAAAATTGCCCCTACATTTGAAATCAGAACTCCAACAGAACACGTGACCATGATCGATGGTAATATGGATTACAGACAAGGCCGATATCTGAAAGGGGATATAACCGCTACCATCAAGAAGCTCTTACCAAAACCCATTGAAATCAAATGTAAGTATTAAAGGATACTAGTCATGAACATTATGAAAATAGTCCAAAAAAATACTTTGCATTAGGTATCAAAACTAAACAATATGATGACACATGTTTATCTTCATTGTGTAACAACAAAGACAAAGTTATGTATCTCCAGAGTAAGTTCAATTCTTGTGTCTAGTATCCAAGATGAAGCATCTTGCAAACAAGAAATTTGAAAATACAAAATCGTCACGATCTTTCAGTTAAGAACATCATGAAGGAAGATAAGAGAAAGAACATGAGATACGATCTAGATGTTTTCGTTGCCTCCAAATGGTTGAGTGGTAAAATTGATGGTAATATGGTGAGAAGCAGCAAAGCTGGTCAAACAACCACCGTTCGTCTTGCAGTTGATTATAAGCTACCCAAGGGAAAGAAAAATAAGTTTATCGTCAGTGGTAAATTGAATGATAAATGTACCAAATCCATCTACAAGTACATTCTGAATGCGTAAGTGATTTTCCGGATGCTTATCCCAAATTTCGAGGGTGCCTATGCGTACATAAATCCTAAAATTGCTTATTCAAAAATAAAGGAAAAAAACAACATAAATGACGTGTATCTGTTATAGTTTAACATACAGTAATTATGATACAAATATGGGAACCAATGTTTGTACTTCTCATATACGTGTAATAATAAATGTTTCGTTTTGTATTTAGCAATATGGATGTGAAAAAGAATCCAGAATACAACTGGGTGGTGAATCTTGACATGTCTCACAACAATAAACATAGTGATGCCTCAGCTATTATCAAGTATGGAAAAAATTTGAAAGATAAATCCAAGCAGATCGAACTTTCGTCTACTCTGAATCGCAAGGGCTCCTTGGGTGCTGCCTCCATTGATTATAAGATTAGTTCAAAGGTCCCAGTTCTGGTAATTATTCATTTTTTTGTTGGGGTGAGAGGACTTTGTAGTCCAGACCGTACCGAATCCCGAACCACTCGTACCCAATCAACATTAAAAAAACAAAACAATAATCTTGCCGCGTAAAAGAGCAATTGTCCACTCGAGAAAGACACGACAGGGCTAAATGGAATGTTTAGATTCAGGTCCTTGGTCAGATGTTCATATTAAAACTCCATCGTCCTCTCAGAATCATTTTTTCAGAATCTGTTCCCATCTGTTTGTATCTCAATTTGTCGAAACACATACACACAAAGTAGAACTTAAAACTTACATTTTTCATTCATTATATAGGATGTTGATGTATCAGCCAACGGAGACCACAAACACGACCGTAAATACCTACAGAACAACATGGTTCTTAACTATGGTAAAGGCAAATTAGTGAAAACAGCTGTAAAACTGTACGACAGATCCAAGAAGTCGATTAACATGGGCGGTGAGATAGATTTAAAATATCCAGAACACCAGCTGAACATCAACACTGACTTCGACCAGAACAAAAATCAATACGTCCATAAACTTAATTTCAAAATGGACAAGAAGAAGTCAAGCATTACCACGACTTATAACAATCCCAAATCGAAAAAACACGAAGTTTCTTCTGAAATCTTCCTGAATTCTTTCCAACCAATCACTCTTGTTGGTACGGTTAATCTCGACCTCGACAAATTCAAGAGTAGCGGAAAACTGATCCACGGTGACAAAAAGTATGGTTTCATAGCCTCTAAAACTTCCAGGGATATGTACAACCATGTTATGGATGCTGATGT